AACCCCCATTGGTATTATTTTTTTTGTTACTTTTTTTGTTAATAACTTTTTAACGAATAACGAGCGACGGCTAAAACCACCTGAAGGTTACTTGGGGTCATGCCCTTGACAACATATATAAAGGTCAAGGTCATTGGAGCAGCCTCCCTTCATCGATATATTTACCCTATTGATTTCTTGATAATGGTACCCAATACTTTTAGGCACAGAATAATGAGGTGAACGATTAATGTAAAGAAAACTCAGTTGCTTAAAACAAAATTAGTAATTTGCAAGAAATGCATAAATTTATTAATTTCAAGATTGAGGTAACCTGAAGATATTAATCAATTTTTGATGAAATTTTACCCAGACCATATTAAGGTCTATAGCTAACTTTGGGGGGGGGAGGGTATTACTAATCAATTTTCAAAAATTTGTTTTAGTCCATCCCAACATATACAGTGTTCCATTTTATATTTGACAATCAAATATTTGGAAATCGCGAGGTTCGAGAGAAAAATATTTCAAGTGACAAAAGTGTTGTAGGGTTTCGAGGGGGACTTAAGATGATACCATTGATTTGACTCTGAGTGGCGTCGTCACGGTCAGGACAAGGTCTTTGAATTTTTGAAACCGAACCCCCTATTTTTTGTTCCATATTCTTGTAGCTTATTTCGAGAGCTTTCCAAAACACATAGATTAAATGTTTTTTGGTTAAGTAAATCTCGAGTTATAAAGCTTGAACGTTACAGTACCACCGATATTAGCATTATTTAAGGTGTCCGAACAATGGCTAAAACCTTTCGAATATTGTTCAGGATCATGAGCTTGACAACATGTGTCAAGGCCATAATCATTGGAGGTTGTTTCTCTTATTTTCATTTTTAAAAATTATTTTTATTTTTTGAAAAAAGAGAAACATTCTCCAATAATTATGACTTTGACACGTGTTGTCAAGCTCACCCTAAACAACATTCAAAAGGTTTCAGCCATTGTTCGGATATCTTAGATAATCCTAATGCCGGGGGTACTGTGACATTCAAGCTTTATAACTCGAGATTTACTTAACCAAAAAACATTTTATCTATGTGTTTTGGGAAGCTCTCGAAATAAGCTACAAGAATATGGAACGAAAAATAGGGGTTCCATTTAAAAAATTCAAAGTGACCTTGTCCTGACCTTAATGACGCCAGTCAGGGTCAAACCAATGTTATCATCTTATGTTCCCCTCGAAACCCTACAACTTTTGTCTAAAACATTTTTCTCTCAAACCTCAAACCGATTTCCAAATATTTGACTGTCAAATATAAAATGGGACACTGTATATAATGTATGTATATTGTATGTATGTTATATATATTGTATACATATATATATATATAGGTATATATATATATATATATATATATATATACATACATATATGTATATGTATATTAATTTATTCATTTCAAATTATATGGCATAAAAATAAAATAAACAAGAAAATTTCTTGCTCCGTATCTACTCTTGTCTCAAGTTACTTTCTTATTTTGTTACCAATACATAATAAGTTATTAAAATCTTTACCAGTATGATCATACAGGAGGCCCGCAATTGGTGGTCCAACCGTCAGAGGTATAGAACACATTCCCAGAAGAAAACCGATCGCCTGAGTTGCACCGCTACGGCCGCAAATATCGAACGCAATCGGGCCAAGTAACGATATGAAGCAGCCATCGAACAGTCCCATCCCTAGCGAGATGACCAGGAGCATAGGGAAGGATTTGGTGACCGGAAGGAGCATTGTGAGAATACCGATACTCACAAACGATATCTGAAAGAAATGGTTCTCTATTTTTATTTGTATCAAGATTCTAGAGAAGATTTTAAGAGAAAGAAAAATAATAAAATATTTTATTTTAAAGATGATTGTGCTCTGATGAAAAAAATTTTCATAATACATATTTATTGTATATGTGTATATATATAACAGAATTTATCATATTTTGAATTTATATAGATTTTTAAAAAAATACCTTAAACTTTTCCAGATTTTATCTTCAGAAATTATAAAACAAGATCTAAAAAATCTTAGAATATTTCAGAATTCACATATACATATAAAGAATTCTAGAAAATTTAAATATTTTTCAGAAGTACTGAGAAAAGATATAGATTTTTCTCAGCACTTTTGAAAAGTATTTAAGGGCCCTTCCTAGTCAGCCACGAACTCCGCGTTGA